TTACTACATTCACCCATATTATCAAGTCCATAGATCAGCCTCACATTTTAGTAAAATGACTTTGAAGGCTGACAAGTGGTATATAAGGGCCAAGATTCAAGCCAAGGTAAAGTAGGTCACTACAGTTTTTGTCTACTCGAGGCTAGGGCTGATCTAAAGTAGTGGCAGTGGTGGTGACAAGGGGAGGGCAGACCAAGAAATAAAAAGAATGGATATTACTTAGGGACTTAATGGACACAGGATGTTAAAGGATTGAGAATGGTTTCTGGTTTCTGATAAGCTTAGACCATGATGGTTTTAGTCTGTAATCCTATTTTCATTATCATATATTTGTAGTATATGATGCTTCAAAATAATTCTTTGAAAATAATTTTAATGGCTACATTTATGGACTTACCCTAATTTAAATAGATTCTGTTGGAGATGTATAAGCCTTTTACAAATTTGTCCACTTCTAAGACTGACCTGTCACAATTGAGTCAACATACATGAATGATTTCCAAATAATCCAAAATAAATTATGAGTAATTTTTCAGTATCCCAGAAGAAAGCCAGAAAAATGTGGCAAGTTGTTCAAAGACAATTTAATTTTTTTATATCATGATGACTGTCTTTATTTGTTAATAACCATTTTAAAACCAAGTACTAGTATATAGCGTTGCTATTTAGACAATGAAAATTGGTTAACTACATTGGTTTCCCTAATTCTTACTATTTGATTCAGTCAAGAAATCCCAAAGTCTGGGAATCAGTGGATTTGACTGGTTCTGAAACCCTGCCAACTTTTCAGTTTTGCCTCTCATCTATACTAGATTATTACATTCTACCAAAAATCCCACAAGACTCCCATAACTATTTTGCTTTGTTGATCTGTATCCTAGAGAGTATATTGACACGCATTACCTTAGCTAAATCCTGTCTTCAATGACTGTGTATTCCAGGGAATACAGAATGGGGGCCTTTTCTATCAGCCATTCTATGTTATAATAAAGGCTTCTTTGAGACACAAGACCTACATATGAAACAGAAGTCCTTGACTTAGAAGGAACAAATCTAACCTACTTTTTGGGAAGCTATCTAGCTATCTAGTCTTGCAGACTGCTATGAATATACTAAGGAGTTACCCATGTACCTTGAAACAAAGACTATTTATTATAATTACTGTGTTCCTGTAAGCACCTTTCTTTCAAGTAGCTCAAAGCCTTCTGGTACCAATAAGTTCTGTCAGTAAGGGAGAGGCTGCAAATGGCACGGATAATCGAGCTCTAAATAATGAAACCACTTTAAAATTCATTGCTTTAAAGTCTATATAGCCTGTGATGTCAAAATTCTTCTCATTCCCTCAATCTAAAGAGGGGCAATACCATACATTTACCTTATCTGAACATGGTAGCATCCCAAGTTTTAAAAAGTTCACTTGTCTGGCTGTAATTGAGTTCTAAATACTGAATTTTATGACTTTTATGGAACTATGCTTTTCACTGAGAATTCCTTTCTAAAGAACTAAATTAAAATTCTGTATGTGCATGTTTAACTGTCCTCATCTCCCCAAGCCTTAACCCCTTGATCTGATTTTATAATTTGGTTCCTTCATTTTACTTTGCTAATTTGTATTTTAGAATGGTTATATTGTTTTTTACTGAGATACAATAAAATGCATAAATCTTAGTGCACAGCTCAATGAATTCTAACATGTATACACTAGTAACCATCACCCAGATCAAGATATAGAATGATTTTAATTTTTACAAAAATTACAAACATGCAGGGCAAGGAAAACTTTCAACTTATTTACAAATGCAAAATTTATTCCAAGGAACATATGACTTCTCTGTTTTAGAAATGGAAGACAGTATTACCTAAGTATTGTTTATTTTTGGAATGCATGATGGCAAGAGTTGGGGGGAAAAAGCTTACGCATAGAAAACCAAGCAGCTGCTTCTCTTCCAAAGTAACTGACTTAGCACCTGTACGACAACTTAAGCATGTATTTCAAAGTTTTAATCTTTTTCTTAAAATGTACTTTATTTTGATCTAGACCTCCAATTAAACTATGCATAAGAGTCAGTCCTTGTCCTTGAACATAACTGGAATTCTCATTTAGCTGATAGAAAAAGCAAAGGCAGAGATACACAGGAATAGCTATTAAGGTCTCATGATCATATTGTCAAGACAAAAACCTCACTGCTACTTTCAATGTTTTGTTTTGTTTTTAATTTGAGAAGGCTATTTGGACCTAAAGCTATGAATTAAGTAATTTAAGGTCAGTTTACTTTGTAGCTTAATATGATGAAAATTTAAGAAGTCTTAATTTCCCTCTCAATTTAGCTGTGCCAACCCCTGGTCATCTTTATAGAGGCTGAGTGCTTCTAAAATACCAAAGTATATCAGTTATAAATAAAGCTCACTGTTGCCTCCAGAGGTAAGAACAACAAATTTAGAATATTTTGATACACATGAATTTGTAGAAGGGTAGTTACATTTTACAAATTTGTAACACTTTGATACATATGTATTTGTAGAAGGGTATACACACACACACACACACACACACACACACACACACACACACACACACACACACACACACAGTTATATTAACTGCAGAAATAGCATAGCTGTTGATCAAGAGGGAAGTCTGTGGAGTATAAGGGTGGAAAAGGGGAGGGCAACTAAGAAAAGGAAGCAAAAATTAGGTGCCTACCCTGTTAATGATCACCAAGGAGAGCAAGACACAGGATACATAAAGTATTGAAAACAAAAATGAACATTTAACATAAGCATTAATTAGGTGACTGGATTCATACAAAAATGAAGGAAGAAAATATCAAATTTGATCACACCTAGAAAAAATACTTAAATCCAAGTTATCTTGGTGGGTTATCAATTTACTCATTTGTAAAAAGGACTAAGTCAAAAGTAAGTCTCTTCTGAGAAATCTTCTGCATCCGTGGATGTTTTAATGCCCTTGTCTAGCTTGGATTAACACATAGTCTACAGGCACACACCTGATCATCTACAATTGCTCTCTTACAGCACTAAACTATGTTTTCTACCTTTATCTTGCATCTACCTACCACTTCAGCATTTTATTAAAAATAAAAATAATAATAATAAAGGGAGAAATGTGGGACCCACATATAAATCAAGTATAAAAATCAAACATTCATATTTGACCTGATTGTTCATAATTCATAATGCGTGATCAAAACCGAAAGTTTCTGTGATGAATGCCTTTGTACTGTTCACCATGTAAGAACTTATTCACTATGTAAGAATTTGTTCACCATGTAAGAACTTGTTCGTCATGCTTCAGAAGATTGGAGACTGATGAGAATTAGGCTTGAGATGGATTGATTGTGATCGAGCATTGACCCCTCTATACAGAATTTTATTGTTAACAACGATTTGATCAATAAATATGAGAGATGCCCTCTCAAAAAAAAAAAAAAAGTAAGTCTCTTCTTCACTAAAAACTAATTTCTGTAAAATATACCAGAGGTAAAGATAATGCAATTTCAGGTGATATACACTAAATATAAATGGTATTCATTCTTACCTATTCATTTAAAAATTATGAATTTGGTATCTAAAATGTTACAGTCCCTAAAACAGACAAAACAAAACAACAAAAACCTGTTTTAAACATCCAATATAAAGCATATGCAAACCAGACACTTGACATAAAAGCACTAAGAAGTCAAGCTTTGGTTTCTCAAAATGTTGGGAGGCTTGGAAGGCTCATTCTTTAAAGTAACACAAGAACAACTTCAGAAAAAGGGAGTAAGCTATAGTAAGACCACTATTTAGCCCACTTACTACCATATTTGGTGACATTTTATATGCTGAAAGAAGGACTTGGACATCTTTACCTTTTAAAAAGTTCACTGTAAAACTTGTGTTTAGTTTCAGATAGGTGTTATATCCCAGTCTTTTGTAAAGTAGAAAAACTACCATGCTAAGTACCAGTAAGATTGATAAAACGATAGGAGATGGACAGATTAAGAGATTCTGTACTTTAAAAGCATCAAAACACTTATTTTAGCTGTACCTTGATGAAGTTGTCAAAATGGGTAACATGGAAATTTACTGAGGCAAGAAATGTTAATTCTAAAAAAAACTAGCCATGTATAGATTACAAAAGCCCCAACAACCCATGACTGCGTACTAGTTTTCCTCTTCAAATTCAATTTCACATCTTAATTGGGTGTTGTACAAAATAAGTTGTTTCTGCTTTCTGATGGGTGAACTCTTGAGATCTAAAAATAGGTATGAATGACCAGACAAATTCTTCTCAAATACACACTGTAAAATGATAAGAACATGAAAGTCACCTAAGAATTATAATCAGAACTGCCTATATATGACCTTTTTCAAGTCATAATCACTACAACTTCTTACAGCAGTAGTTTTATATTGCCTGACAGCATTCAATTTAACACTTACCATCTCGGTCACATAAGGGTAGCTACATATTGGAACAATCTGATTATGATCTGCTGACTGCCAAATATGCATACATTGTCCTCAAGTCATTTTGCATAGGCATAATGAATTTAAGATGTACAAACATGAACAAAACCACTAACCTGAATTTTTGAAACATTTTAATGAAAGTTTTTTTGGGCCTAGAATTATAACAAGGAAGTTGGACATCAAGACATATTTCTTGATGCAGCTGCAAAATTACAAGTTCTAGCTTTTTCTATAATAGCTATAGACACAGGTTACTGTGCTACATGGATTCTCAGCATAAAACATAAAATGGCAGAATTCTCATGAATCCATGTTTATTAGAAGCAATGGCTATCAATATGTATCTAATGCTGTCAGGATGTAAGCTACATATTTGCAGACAATTTAAAGTGGAGAGAACAGATGAAATCAATCAAGATCAGATAGGCTGAAATAGGTGAGCATCTCTGGAAAAGGAAAAGTCTGACACAAGCTCAAGCTTGCTCTCATTCTCTTGCTTTTTATTGTACAATGGGGGGGGGGAGTCCTTTTTGGACTGTGGGTGTGTGGTGGCCTTGAAAGGTGCTTTCTCGTACAATGTCACGTCATCATTGATATATTGTTAAGAGGTTTGTTGTACACCTAAAATTGAGATAAGGAAGATTAGGAATGAGATATATAACCTAGTATACAACACTCTTTAATAATGGTCCAATTTTTAATTTGTAGTTAGCAGTATCTGGGTTCCAGGCCAACTATGAAACTAAAGCCAGTCACTTCCCTCTTTGAGACTATTTCTTCAAAAGAGGGGGAAAAAAAGATTAAGAAATGCCTTGAGCTTCTCTGGCAAAATGACTCTGAACTTTAAAAGATAATGAAATTATCTGGTCCCAATTCACATACACTTCAAAAGTTTTACCTCAGTGTACACCATGCAAACCTAGTCAAACTGGCTTCTATTTAAAACACATTCTCTCTATTCCTGTTTTGTCTCTGCACATAGTTATGCTGACTGCAAATACATTGTGCTTCACTGCTGCCACCCATTCACTATTGATACATATTTGCCTCCTAGTCCTAAAACTTGATTTGTGAAACACATTACCTAGGAACTGGGGATCCTGGCTGAATGCTCACAGTACATACCCATATGGTTTGATCCCAAACCAGATTATAAACTAATCGAGTAGGGGCCAGTCCTAACTTGCACAGTGACAGGTACAAATATTTCAAGAACGTGAGACAGAAACCAGATTTTAGGGCTAGTAATGCTGGCAAAATGTGTTAAAGTAGGAGGGAAAAACACCTAAGTTTTAAAAACATGATACAGAATCAACAAGAACATTCAGCATCCAATTATAGACTCAACTGATTTGTTATTTACTACCAGTAACACATGCTATGGCAAAATTTTCAGGTGCTCAGTATCAAAGCACATTATCTATTGTTGGTGTACAAAACCAAGTGCCTATTATACACCAGGAACTTTGCACTTTAGCTACTACAAAGATGAATGAAACACTGCCTGACATCTTATAAACTAAAGGTAAAGAGAAACATGACAGAGTGCCAGGTACAGAAGTGACAAAAGGGACTGTCTCATTTTCTGGAGATAAAAAATAACTGAGCATTTACTACAAGTCATGAATTGCTCCTGGAGGTTTTCTCATTTAGTCCCTAAGACCACTATAATGAAGTAGTTAATATTTTACCTGTTTTATGGCCTATGAAACAGAAATGGAGGTAGAGGCCCAGAAAGGAAACTATCTGAGTCTAACTGGAAGTGGAGAGCAGATATTCAAACTTGGGTCATTTTAACTTCAGGGATGTCCATGAGGCTTGTAAGTGGGGGGTTAGGGGACAGATGAAGGACCTTGCATGTCATAGGGTGTTTGGACTTGATCCTGTGATAAACTAATTGTTTTAAACAAGAAAGTTTAGGAAAGATGTTTGTATGAACAGAGCTGCAACAGAACCATTAACTTATGAATGGAAATACAAGAAGAAAAGCTGAGAGAAAAAAATTTCAGTTTTTAATTTTAGTTTGAAGTACTTATGTAACATGTAAGATACTTAGTAGGTCCATTTGAGTTCAGAGAGTATAAATTTTGGAGTCATCAATAGGTGTGGGAACCTTTCATTAATACAAATGGTGAAAAAGTGGCTGGGGACCTAACACCGGGAAATTCCAACAATTAAGCAGAAGAAACTAATGAAAATAGGAAGGACAGAAGTAGAAACTACAAAGAATATTAGCATATAAACTGAGTTTTAAGATGGTACATTCTAAGGAATCAAATGCTACAGGTTATGTAAGACCACCCAAATCTGGAGTACATAAAAATACAGAACCTTTCACAAAAATGTTATAAATGCAAATAAGTGCATATATAATCATTTAAAACCTGAAAAGCTGAGTTTGTGGAGAAAGGGAACTAGTTAACTTTTAGACACTTAAAAAAAAAAACAAACCTCTAGTACAAGTGAACTCTGACTCGTTTATTGGTAGAATCTCTCCTCTCAACCATTTTAATTTCTAAAGGATTCTTCACCTCATTTAAATCACTGTCTACCTTACCCTTTTTATTCCCATTTGCCCTTTAACTGATCACAAAGTGAGAGCAGAGGAATAAAGATAAAGAATAGCCACAGAACGTCTTGCTTAGAGATGGTCAGACAAGTTGTGTTTAGGACACAGTAGAGCTGCATAGACTATCATGCTACTGTTATTGTATGAACCTGAGAATAGTGAATATTCTTGCTGCTTTTTCAGGTTTCAGCCACAAAATGAGAAAAAATAAGTTTTCTTGAGAAATGAGCTGTCATATAGCATAACCTTCCTTCATGAAAAATTTAGGGATAAGACTAAACTGGAGGAATAGGTTCTCTCTTAACAATATTAAAAAGTTTTTTAGACAAACAACATGAACCAGGCATTGGGCATAATATATGGATAATGTGTGACAGTTGCAAATAGACTGCAGAACTCACTTTTATATATAAAAAAAGGAGAGGTTTATAAATTCCTACTATGACTAAACCAATATCAATGACCTAGTGTGACATACCTTGCTTTTTTTTTTTAACTCTTGTTATTCCTAGGTCCTTAATTCCAACTATTATAACCTCACTTATTAATCATTGATTTTTTTTTATGTTAACTGTCAGCAACACACCACGCTATAAAGAAATGAGAATTGCATTAAAGTTGAGCTAAAGGTAAAAAATAGAATAAAGGTTGAGATATACCAGAAAGTAAACATTTAGACAGATAAAAATGCTTCCAGAGTTCTATTTACCAAGTAGTCCACCTTGTTAATCTAACTGAAAATGTTAAGGGCTAGGAATTGTGTTTTTGGAGTCTTAAACATGGTAGGAATGCAAATCATTTGACTGAAATTAGAGGCGGAGTCCCAGTCTGTCCCAGGAACAAAGCAACTGGAGAAAACCAGAAATAGTTTTAAATGAGACACAAATATACTGTGGGAGGGGCAATTTAAAAAATATTTTTGAGAATAAAGAATATTAAAGTGATATAATCTCTAGGAATAAATTTCTATATAATTTAACTCAGCTTAAGCTTCAATTGTATGAAATACCATTTACCCTAGGTTGGTAACCAATTATTAGACTAGTACACCATATGAAACATAGTTGTTCACTGAAGGTATATTATGTATTTCAAAAAGACGATGCTGACCATGCTGCTTTCTGCTTTGTGGTGGGCTTACAAGAAGCATAAACAAACAAACAAAAAAACCCTCCAAACCCAATTTTCTTTTGTTAATAAAATGCAAGACCAACTGAATACTTCAATGTTTATGGCATGTGTAAGCATTGAAGGAAACCCCTAACAATACTTGTCTTAAAAAAAAAAAAAAACCCCAACCACCAGCTCTAAATAAGACAAGCAAATTGGTCAACTAGGTATATTCAGAAATTTTGTTTAAAACTACCACTCACTTCTCCAAGCAAATAAAGGATCTCCACCAGGTTTTACAGCTCTTTGCTGGTTGAATTTTTACTGTATTTTAAAGTTTACCATTTACATTGGATATTAAAGAGCCCTTTTTAAAAACTACATCTACATTAAATCACTACAGAGAACAGTGGGGTCTATAAGCTTTTGCTACCATCTAGTTTGCTTCATTTAGGTGGAACCATAATATTATTAGTTTCTCTGGTTTCCAGATGAAACTTTATACATAATAATGTTTCATACCTAAAATAAACAGTCAACAGGGAGGTTTGTGACTATGGGTTTTATCTTTTTGGATAGCAGAGGGCTATCCAAAATATTTTTCAGATACTTAGGAAAAAATTATTACCTTTCTTCCTAAGAAAAGTCACCAAATTGATTCAAGATAGCCACAAACCCTCAAAAGTTTTTGACTATTTGCAAATAGGGATTTCAGGGTTAGCACTAATGTAAGTAAACCTTGTCCAGGAAAAGATATCATTTATTTTCCAGAAGTTAAAACTAATTAGTCCCCGTATGTTGTTTAACCCTAACATTTTAAAAGTTATATTTAATGGTTTAAGTTCGAACAACTCTCAAAAATCTTTTCATTCTCTACTTAGAAGATACTGAAATCAGGTTGGGGTGGGGCAGAGGAAAATTTCATGAACAAAATCCAGTGAAGTCACATGTAATTCAGAGTTTCATTTTACATACAACTCTAATAAACCTTCTTATTGGAATGACAATCTCATATAAAACACATCTTGAGGCTTCTAGAGGCTGGTATAGTGACACTTATGTGACAGCAGGTAATGAAAAACTAACTAAATTCAAGGGCACAACAAATTAGATCCTCGTAATCAGAGCAAGCAGTACTGCATACCTGGATAAACCTCAAACAGATCAAGTATATAACCCCAAATGTTCACTAGTGTTTATATACTGTTGAAGTTTATAGGTTAAAATATCCTCTAGATACGAGAAATATGGATGTCAAAAAAAAAACGAAGGCCAATTTTTTTCTTCTTCCCATTTAGGGGCAGAACTTTGCCAGTCTTATCAGCCACCCCCTGCAACCCTCCCACCCCCCATCTTATAAGTGAAAGGGGAAGAAACCTTACCTCCCCAAGCCTCACTAATTGGTCATCTCCTCTCCAAATTTTGGTGGTCAGGAATTTTGGGGAAGAGACCAAAAGCCAGGATTTTACAGTTTCAATTGTACAGTATTTCTCTAAAAAAACATGGATACCTGAATGCCAACCAAGTGTCAAGCATTGGGCTGGGTCGTCAATGTAAAGGCTCATTTTACTTGGGAGTAGGGGTCAGGAAGAGTGTCAGAGGCAAAGGCTCAATTTATCCAGGAGTGGGAAGAGACATGTCAGGTGGTACGGACAAAGGTATGAAATAGCACAGCACTTGAGATGGTACAGTATTTTAGCCCCCCAGGGAAGTCCCAATTATGAAATCTTTGCAACTGTACAAGAGGTGACAATTTGAACAAAAATAGAAGGAAGGTTACAGTATGATTTACTCAAAATTACTGAACTGGAGAATGAGCAGCCAATTTTTTTGAGGGCATGAAGAAAGTTATTAGGATCAGGTACAAAGCTTAGTGTTTTCTGAGTTCAGGAAGCCTGTGGTCCCCTGTAATCTTTAACATTGCACCTGCAGCTTGAAGACGAAAATTTGTAAATTATTAGAGAATAACAGGCACAAATGAAATTGCCCAAGAGAACCTATAATGCAAGAAGGTAGTCAAAGAAAAAAATTAACTGCAAGCAGTATTATTTAAAAATGCCACCGGAATGTAAAGAAAACTCACAGCAAGAGGTTCATGGATTTGGCAATTAGAAACAATGAGGACGCATGATTAAAAGTACAAAACAAATTAAGGATTTATTTCTATTAGCTTAAAAATTAGTCTCTTTTCCTTACTAAGGCACAGGAAAGCTGGGAACATTTTCAAAAGTACTTTAAAATGTGACTTTTTAGTCTCTATTCTAAAAAGTTGCCATGAGGGCAAGGGAAACCTTACTTATATGTAACAGACCCTTTGAGAGTTCTTATAGGCAAAATGCTGATTTTATATCCAGAGTGGACAAAAGCAAAAACTTTTAACTTTAAAATCTTTGTACTACTTAATATTTATAGCTTGATTATTGGCTTTTCAGTTCATTCACATTGTTACTTGACTGAAAAAGCAAACCACAAAAACTAGTAATGATTTAAGTATACACAAACCAATTAAAAACTCAATCTTGTGTTCAAACTACCAAGTCTACAACTGAGACTAAAGGAAATAGCATAATCTTGACCCCAGGTTAAACTCATCTTTTCACGTCCAGTAAACATTTCCTCCTAAAACACCAAATAGAGGTGTTCTGTCAAAAAAAGGCAAGCCGGATTTCAGGGCAAATGTCTTTGTTAATTCCCTGCTCTCAACACCTCTTAAATCTTCACCAGTTTAGTTGACGGCTACTATACTAGTTTGACCAAGTGTAAATAATCAGAAAGTTGGTCTTTCTTATCAATCTTGCCAATATAGACCGTAAGAACTTTTGAAGATCTTCACCTTGCAAAGTTTCAAAAACTAAAAAAAAGTTTAGACTCCTAGAAAAATGACTTGAGGTAGGATATTACACAAAGGTGCAAGACCCTTAATGAAAAACATTTACCAAGAGTGTGATTCTAATTCATTTTTTATTTTTTAAAATCACAGTAAGAGGGTGACAGAAAGACAACATAAGACTAAAAGTATTGAAAAAGGCCTTATAACTTGATACAGATTACACCACTAGATTTTATTCTTTATAATCACGCCTAGATTTAAAAAATAAATGCACTAAAGATTACACGTTCTTGCAGGATACACAGACAGGGAGTATATGGGAAGAAAACAAAGAACAGATGGGAGTAACAAAAATTTTTGAAAAAGGCCTTCAAAATTCAGATGGTATATTCCTTTGTCTCTCCTAACAAATTAAGTGTTCCTGGGTGTTATTTACACTTGCTTACAAACTTTGGGAATATTTTCTATTCGAACGTGAGAAACTACGTTTTCTCAGAAAACGATACTCCTTGATGTCGTGGCCCAAAAGGCATGTCTTTCCTTTATACAATCCAGGGGCCCTCAGGGATTCAGAGAATTCCTATTCCCACTTTAAGGACCTGCCACCTTACCAAGTATAATTTGCAAGGAGAAAGGCAAATAAGAAAATAGGGCACCAAACCTCCTCCACTAATAGCCGTCACACCCCACGAGAAGTATCCCTCCGGGGGGTTTCCCTCGGGAGCCGCAGCTGCTAAATGAATGGAGGAGGGGAAGCGCCCTCAGTCATCTCTTCCGCTTCAGGCCGCCACCGCGGACCTCACCACAGTCCTCCGACCCAGCCCATTCCCCTCCCCCGCCCCAGCCTGGGTCTGAGCCAAACCCCACAGGAATGCAGCCCGGTCACATGCGCTGCGCTGGCGGTGGACGTGCCTCTCCCCCCGCGCCCCAAGGAGACCTAGCGCCATCTTGCCCTGACGCAGTTACAAAAGTCATGGGAGAAATTGTGTCTCATCCGCGCCAGCGCCCCAAAGTTTCGCAGAGGCCGAGCCGGGGCCCTCACCTCGCGCAGGGACATGAAGAAATGGTCAGGGAAGAGCCTTGAGATTCCCTTCGTCACTGCTTGGGTTCCATACCGGCCGCGACAACGATCACCATCGTCACTTCTCCCTCTCTGCCTCTGCAACAGCCTCCACCGACGGCTCTGGCCCCACCCAATGCTGCAGCATGAGGTCATCGCTAGCCAATCACACCGCGCCCGACAGAACACACCAGGCGCTGATTGGCTGCATGGCCCGCCTCTGCCTCTCCCCACTCCGCTTACGAAGCGCTCCGGATCGCTGTGGGTCAAGGAGAAGACGGAAACCGCCATTGCGGGGAAAGACCCCGAAAACTGGAATCACCATGTCATTTTAGTGGGGAAACCCTTGTTTTATTCTTTGGCCTCCCCCTTTTTTCTTCGAAATAACCTTCTCTCTGCCCCCCGCCCATTTAATCACCGCCACATAAAGGAATACCCGTTTCCCACCCCGCACACTGTCCCGCCGGCGGGGAAATCGTTCCCCGGGCCGAGAGAAGTAGGAGGCAGCGACGACAAGTGCACCGACGGCAACGGCAGCTTTTTACCCCGATACACGGTGGCAGGGAGACGGCGCTGACGGTGGCTGTAATTTTCCTGATGCTTCTCCCCCTGACCGCTTTCGTTCCTTGCTCCTCCATCAAGACGGCGCTGGACTCGCCAGCTCCGCTTTTATCCGTTGTCCGGAGTCTGCGCATTGGAGCCTCGTCGGCCCCTAGTGGGCGTCGAGTGACACCCCAACGGAGTTCACCCAACGCTTGAGGGCAGACTGGGGAGGAGGAGGGGAGGACCCGGACCGAGGTGGTTTTGGGAGTGGGAGAAAGTGCATCGCTTTAGGAGGGTATGGGCTGGGGGTGGCGGGGTCGATCCCAGGGCCTCCTGTCATCATCCGTCCCCCCAGTTGTGGCCCAGGTTTACCGCTATACAGACGAGTGCCTCTCAGGGAAAATGGGTAAAGAACCAGTCTCCCAGAATACCAAAACTTCCCCAAATATTCGGTGAAATGCATCTGTTATGAAAAAGACGGAGTCCTGTCTACCTCTCGGCTTCCAGTTGGCTGTCTCCGAACCTTTGTGGAGAGGAAACGGCGGGCGGCAGCCCACAAGAAAAATGGCGGCTGGCAGCTTCGTCTCGTCCCCTCCCCCTCTGCCCCTGCGGAGCGGGTCGGACAGACCCCGTGCACTTGCCGCCGCCGCGGCCGCTGCTGCCGCCGTCGCCGCCGCCGCCGCCGCCGCCGCGGCCGCCGCCGCCGTCGCGGCCATTTTCCCAGAGCGAGAGGCAGTGACACTGATCGGGCGCAGGGGGCCGAGTCGGAGACCGTACCTGAGTTCGGGAGCGGCAACAGAAGAGGCATAGACACGCTGAGCAGCCTCGCCGCCGCTCCCGCGTTCCTGTTGACTATCTGGGTGCCCCCTCCCCTTCTCGTTTGCTGAAGAGGCTGCGCGCTGCTGTTTGGGGAGGGGGTGTGTGGAGCCGGGTCCTGCGTCCGCAGTGGCTGCTGTCGGGGGGACGTCTGTTCGCGGAGGTGTGGAGAGACTCCTTGGGGGTCGAGCAAATAACGGGGTCCAGGTGTCTGGTGTGTGAACATCACAGGTCAGTGCCTGACGTCTCCTTGGGAATTCATGGGCTTTGCGGGGTGGAGGGACCTGTGTGTCAAGGGAGGGGATTTTCTCATCTTTTATCCTTCTGGTGGTGGGAGTGCGGGGGAGTCGACGTTGATTCTCAGGGGTCTTGGCTGGGGCAAGACGTTGCTTGTTTGAATCGAATTTAGCCTTTCTCTTTCCTGTCCCTAACCAGGGTTCATTATGGCGGGTTTTAGGGTTGGAGAAGGGGAAACTGGCAGTTATATCCCTTTGAAAATGGGAGTTAGGGAGGGGGCGCACTCCTCTTTGGCAGCGGGTTAGGGCCGCTTTGGGTGAGGAGGGAGGCTTGTGACTGTTAGTAGGGTTTGTGTCGAAGTGGTCCCAGGAGCTGCCAGCTCTCCCTTTCCTCAGCGGCGTCCCGTTCAGGTGCCGGAAAGCCGTATAGGCCCCATTTTCTTCTATTTCTGACTGGCAGTCTCTGGTATAATTTCCTCGTAAATGCGAAGCGGGTGAAAAGAACGCGCTGGGTATCTCCCTTTGTGGAGAACCAGACAGCTCCTTACCCTCCCCGGGAGAGGGTAAACCCGCCCCTGAGGTGGTCACCCCCGTACCCAGCCTTCCCAGTCTCCTCCCCCACTCCTTGCATTATCGCCGTCCTTTACTGTACCGGAGGCTTGGAGTCCACAATATGGCACATTTCAGAAAAGCTCGTATTGACCAAGGGATTGGCACAAACACTGTGGCAGCAGACACAGAAGAGAAACAAACGGTTCACTGTGCTAAACGGGTGACGGGGGTGGGGGGGAGAGAAAACAATCCGGAGTGCTCTCTTCCACTGGCCTTAGCTCCGTGGAGATCCGTTCTTGCTGGAGCCTGTCTTAAGAATAATACCATGTAAAGTCAGAGAGAAATCGCTGGAGTTAGCCTTTAGAGTAAATCCCGTTTTGCCTATTCCCCCCCCCTTTTTGAGATGTGAATAACGTAAGGTGTTTGGAGTTCTGGAGACCTTGGAGAGAATTAGGTGAGGTGCATTCAACTCTAGGCTGGAGACGTCAATACTTAATTGGAAAATAGTCCGTTTTTTCCTTTACTTTCCGAGATGAGGAGTAAAAAGTGAAATTTCCCTCTTTTGTCCTTTACAGATTCTAAAAATGGCGGCCCCGGGCTGATGTTGTGGTAATCTAATCAGCTCGGGTCCTCCACACCCCATGCAGTGCGTTTGTCTGCAGCATATTACATACAGGCTTATTATGTTTACATGAAAAGACTGGGCTTTTTTCCTTCTCTAAACCGTTTCAAAATGTGTTGATTTTACTGCAAATTACAATGTTGTGTGTTCTAGTTGGTTAGCTTTAATGTTTTTTTTCCTGAGAGGCAAGTAAAATGACACCACTTCTGAAAGAAAAACACTCAGCCTTAGATTTTTCAGTAGTGGGCTAGGTGCTCTTTACTAAAAAAAAATTATTTGGGAACAAATGAAAGTTTTTGTTGGGTTTAACCTGATTATCTTTTATTCAATATGCCGAAGTAAATTAAAATGTTTAGTAAGTGTGTAAGTGCAACCTATTTTGTATGACTAGACTTTTAATCTAGAGTGAAGCCTCTGCCATCCAACTCTTGATCAAATTTGTGAATTTTGGGTTTTGTACTCTTTCAGGTTAATTTTTAGGGAGCTGTACAAACAAGCCTAAACCTGTTACTTCACCGGGTGTGCAGATGCTTGTTCTTCTCACTATTATAATTGGCATCCATTTTCCCTATATATTTAGGCACTCCTTAAAAATTTTCTTACTTGATTGTGTATTTGACAAAGTGAAGCTCCATGCTTTGCTGCCTTTTAAAATTATCTTATGGCATATTATCATCATTATATAAGTAAAAAAGTAAGACTTTAGTTCTTGATTCCCCCTCCTCCCCCAACCCAAACATGTTCATTTACCTATTATGGGTTGTGGAATTTAGTCTGTTTTAATAGACTTTAAATAAAAGCCATACCGTAATAGGGTCTTGAGTCCATTTTTATACTTATTTCAGAATCTGGTAGATTGAGGGAAAAACTTAAGTGATGTCATTTAAGTATATTGTAAAAAGAGTGAATGATTAGAATTCATTTCTGTAGTGGGTGGCCGATCGTTTTGGCCTAAACTAGGCAGTGAGATAGGAGTGGGCCATTAGTGGCATTTAATGACCATTCTGATTGTGGAGCAGCTGAAAAGATGAGTGCTTTTCGATTCAGTAGTACTTAAAAAGGTTAGAGACTATACACCCTTTCATGATTCTCTTATTCCACTGTTAATTCTGTTCTAAAATATTTACAAGAGAATCATGAGATTATTATGTGAGCTAGATAGATGATAAATTTCTATTCTACAAATTGTAGAAATAGCTGATTTAGGGAGTTTGATCAGGAAAGACTGAGCACACAACCTGACTTAGAATCGTTGAAATATTTTATTATGAAATGAAATTTTCATGGATAGTGGGAGAATTTGTTTAGAGATTTGGGGTCAGTACTCATTTGTATTATGCTCTGGGTGATCATATAAATCCAGACCCTTACCTGCTGTGTAAAGATTGTGCGTTTATTTAATATACTAAGTGGTTAAGATCTGTGGTGCGTAAGGTTGGTACTTTATTTTAAACTTACTGTCTAATGTAGGGAATCTGTTCTCTTAGGGAAACTTGGTTTATATAGCCATAGGAGGGAACACTCTATGTTTTTCTTGATAGGGACCTTGATTAGGTCTAGACACAAAACATTTGGACTTAATTTGGCCTCAGACATGTTAGAAATTATGAGGAAAGCTTCCTTTATTAGCTTTGTTCATACTGGCCTGCTTCATTGCTTTGGGTTTTCGTTGTTCCTTTTTTGTTGTTATGTTTTGGTTCTTAGTAAAATGGACTGTTTTGTTTTTAAGTATATTGCACTTTGTTTTAAATAGTTATTTTCTAAATAACATGTTTGATTTTTCATCAGTGTATACCACAATTGACTATATTTTAAGTTAGGATTGTGGAGGCTAACTTATTAAAAGGTTACGCATGATTTTTGTTCCCAGAGAGTTCTGAAACATTCTGTCCCTTGGAGGAAAACTAGTCAAATTGTCTTTGTTCTTAGGAAAGCTGAGTTTGAGGAATCAGTTGTTTATCTGTTTAACTGGATTTGTAGAAAATCATAACACAATTGGAAAGCAAATTTTAGAGAGTACCTTTAGAGACATACTTCCTTTTTGTTGTCAGTGTAAGTTATAGGATCTCTTTGGTCTTAGTTTAAGTTTAGAATTTCTCCATTTCCCTTCAACTCTTTAGGTCTCTGATAACTCTTCCATTATTTTGGCTTGTCCATCTTCCTAAAAGCTGCAAACCAGAAAATTTTTACCATATATACCACAATAAGCTCTAAGACTTCTCGATCTAAAAATGAGGAAATGAAAAGAAAAGCCAATTAGGAGAAAAAGCCAACATAGGAGAAATTATTCTGCTTAATATATACCTTCATGGTCTTACAAAAGGATTAACTTCTTAAAATTCTTATTTCTAAGAATGAAGTACATCAGACTCTTAAACCTATACTTCTGTTTTAATGTATTAATGTAAATCCTAATAGCACTGCTTTTTTGAAATTTACTACTGGGACTTAAATGTGTACTACCATTGTCCATATAAAATGTATAAAACCCACAGAACTTTTAAGAGTTCAAAAAGTGCTTTAAAAATATTAGTATGGAATATTCTTAAAGGTTGGTACATTTAGTTAAAAAAATTTTTTTAATACTGTATGATAGCTTTTAACTCCAAATGATTTATTCTTAGCAGATGGTAAGTGCTCGATTATTGGACTTAACAGCTTTTGTTAAAGTGAATACATTTAAATCTCAAATATTCAGGTTGGTCAGGGACATGTCATGTATTAGTGTTAACAATGTTAAATACTTGTACTCAGTGAGATGTTTTAAAGTTGAATATAGAATTATTTTTATTGTATGGTAAAATTTTTCTGTTGACTGGCATAAGGAGGATACTATTTGAGAAATTGCTGTGTAATTGTTAGGTAAATATTCAGTAGGTTTCAGGCTGGATTTTATATTGGAGTGGTTCACTGTCTCTTTTTTACTGTCTCTTGTGTACAAATGTTGGGAGGAGCCTCATTTTTTTCTTAATACTAAAAGGATAATATTTTGTATTACCCAAATATTTATTTAATATGGAAGACCAGTATTTGTGGTTGAAAACTGTTCTTAGGGCACTAAATTTTAAATAGACAGTATTTAACTGTAAAAATCTTGTTATTGCACTTAAACAATGAATATTTTATAAGGAAGTGGGAATTAAAGAAAATTTTTTTTGTTATTGTGAACACTTATGCCAAGTGCTACATTAAAAATCAAATGGTGGTGACTCAGGCTAAGTTAATTAGATGTTATTTGTATATTTAGGAGTATGAAAAGTTTTTATTAACCAGGGTGCTGGGTTTTTAAATTTTATTATTCATTATTTATTATTTTT